AGTCTTACACTGCTAAATTAGGGACGGCTAGCGCAGATAGCCCTCGTGTAGCTTTGCGCGAAATTCCAAAACGAACGAATTGAACCACAAACAGACATTATAATTTCACGAGTCGTCATATCTACTCGCAGGTTAACAGAAAAAAAACAGTATGTTTAGCACAGTTATAACGTATTCAAACGTACACCCATCATTCCCGTTTCTCAATGGCCAGGTGGTTAGGGCGTTTGACTCGCGATCTAAGGGTCGCGGGTTCGAATCCCCGTCCCCCCTTTTGTGTGATGGTCAATCTCACTAGTCATTCGTAAAAGAGTAGTTGGCGGTGGGTGGAGATGACTAACTAGCTGTCTTCCCTCTAGTCTTTCACTGTTAAATTAGGGACGGGTAGTGTAGATAGCCCTCGTGTAGCTTTGCGTGAAATTCAAAGCAGAGCAAACCACGTTCAATGAGCAAGTACCTTATCGTTCTAACACGTAATGGCAAGGCAAACGGTATTGTGTAAAATCCTTCATATTTTCATTTACGCTGGTACAACTAAATTCGCTTCAGAAGGCAGTGGCGGTTTGATCAGACCTAGTCCTAATCAGTTCGATACGGTGCTTAAAGTGGAGTCAAATGGCAGTATGTATACCTTAGGTTAACAAAAAAAAAGATGATAAATAATTATTACAAGTATATTATTCTGACGTATACACATATATATTTCAATTAAATAATAAGTAGATAGCATTCAGCTTATGTTCAAAACTTGCATGAATATCTATTTCAACGTCGAGTTCTCGTTATAACACGAACAGTTTTATAAGTGGCACAACGGTATCTTTACGGTCTTACAACGCTAGAAACCGGGTTTCCATACCCGTGGTGGACAGATAACTACAAACAAAGACGTTTCTAAAAACTAAGATATTCTCTTTGTGCTTAAAACAAAATATCTTTACAATGCTAATATAAACCAATACAGTATATTAAAGGTGCTAATTGTGGAAACTGAATAGCTTCTTTTTGAGTTTCGTAAGCGTATGACTGAACACACTCCCGATATCAGATGTCGATAGAGTTTTGACAAAATATTGTCTACTAAAGCATTCCAAGGGCCCGGCATGGCCAGGTGGTTAGGGCGCTCGACTCGTAATCTGAGGGTCGCGGGTTCGAATCCCCGTCACACCAAACACGCCAACCTCCGTCCCAAGTCCAGGATGAGAAAGGAGGCGAGCAACTCCACCCTCCAACCTGCTACAAGTAACTGCAACAACAACTTTCCGTTGGTGAGGTGTTGTTACGGCCCTATGCTCCACTGGTAGTTTACAGGAATGCAAAAAAACAAAACAAAAAACATTCCAAAGGTTTTACTGGGGTTGAAACATAGTTAGCTATTTCGGTAAAATTATTCCTGAAATAAATTTTACAAAAACAGATATAATCCGAAAATTATTTACCAACTTTTCTACATCGTGAACAGTCGTGTTTAAATATGCATTGATCTGCTAGTCTTTGTGCCAGCCTGGCAAGTTCGTCATCCCAGTACTGCAACAGAAGAAAAGGCTTGTAACAAAACAAACTCTTACACATAGATTAACATCTGAAACTCTCTTACAATATCAAAAGTAATCATATAATAATGCACTCTATAATGTATAAAACTATTATAATATTAAACATGAGAATAGCATATATAGCCTGGCAAGTTCGTCATCCCAGTACTGCAACAGAAGAAAAGGCTTGTAACAGAACAAACTCTTACACATAGATTAACATCTGAAACTCTCTTACAATATCAAAAGTAATCATATAATAATGCGCTCTATAATGTATAAAACTATTATAATATCACACATGAGAATAGCATATATAGCTGGCAAGTTCGTCATCCCAGTACTGCAACAGAAGAAAAGGCTTGTAACAAAACAAACTCTTACACATAGATTAACATCTGAAATTCTCTTACAATATCAAAATTAATCATATAATAATGCGCTCTATAATGTATAAAACTATTATAATATCAAACATGAGAATAGCATATATAGCCTGGCAAGTTCGTCATCCCAGTACTGCAACAGAAGAAAAGGCTTGTAACAAAACAAACTCTTACACATAGATTAACATCTGAAACTCTCTTACAATATCAAAAGTAATAATATAATAATGCGCTCTATAATGTACAAAACTATTATAATATCAAACATGAGAATAGCATATATAGCCTGGCGAGTTCGTCATCCCAGTACTGTAACAGAAGAAAAGGCTTGTAACAGAACAAACTCTTACACATAGATTAACATCTGAAATTCTCTTACAATATCAAAAGTAATAATATAATAATGCGCTCTATAATGTATAAAACTATTATAATATCAAACATGAGAATAACATATGTATATGTAATTAAGATATTTGTATATAATTGCACTGTGCAGTGACTGTTTAACAAATGGACTTAACAGGACAACAGTCATGCTAAAACCCAAGAAAAATGCATAAAATAACATATCATACATGCTATTGCAGGAATTTAATCTTGTTTTAACCTGAACGCTCCAAGAAAAAAATAAAATTACTGGATAAAAGATAATATTTTAACCAGTTATAAAAATTACGAAGCGTGCTTTTGCTTTGTTTCTTTTTTTAACATTATTATTATAACGATTATTTGTATGCAGCAAATATTCTTTAAAATATGTGAAGAGACAAATATATCTTTTTAAGATTATAACTGAGTTTGAAATGTTGGTATCGAAGACCATGTTATCCCTAATAACCATGCTCTGTCTGCTTCCACTGTTTCTTAACAACGGTCCTACAGCAATGTCTCCATGAGATCATGCTTCTTAAGAGAACAGCAATTTCAATGTAGTCCATTAAAAAAAAAAAACACTTTCCATAAACTGGTTATTGTCTGAAGTCTATGACTTCCTATAGCACGAGTTAGCAGATGTAAGGCATGAAAGTATATGGGAGCTGCTTCAGTAACTGGAGAGGTACTTGGTCAAAATGGAGTGTTGTATTCCAGTTTCCTCGGTCTTCTCTTTCATTAGAACCATCTACTGATTTTCAAATGTGGATGAAAGCTTGTGTGGTTTCGTCTATTTCAGAGCAATGTTTATCATCTTAACAGTGGTATTAGGAGATACGTTTCAGCTTCAATGCAAAGGCTTTTTTGGATCTGTGAGTTTTCTTTTATCACCATAGCTTTAACTTTTTGATGACAGCATCAGTTCTGATTTAGCTGGGTACAATTTTGGAAACAGTTGCTGTCCTAAAGCTCTGCTGTGCGAGTTAATCCATTTCCTTGTTGTGCCCTTTAGCTCTACCTCGCTTTACAACCCTGTTGTATATGTCTTTCTGACATCTGATCAAATTTTGAGGCATTTTACAGACCTGTTTTTAACGTGGTACAGATGTCTATCTATCACCTGAATATAATTTTAGAGCCATCCCGACATTCGCAAGGAAACGGTAGCCAATTTACGTAAAGTCGAAACTTTACAGAGTATTTACACTAAATGATTCTACTGCTATTAATTAACGCAGCACAGTCGTATCTGATATAAGATGGTGAAAACGATTCCGTTGGTGGCAAATGTAAATAAAACAAGAATGTCTTGTAGATGGACTTTTACACTAAATTTACACTAAATGATTCTACTGCTATTAATTAACGCAGCACAGTCGTATCTGATATAAGATGGTGAAAACGATTCCGTTGGTGGCAAATGTAAATAAAACAAGAATGTCTTGTAGATGGACTTTTAGTAACAAAGAAATAAAGAAGCTCATGGTAACAACACAGTCTGGTAACAACAACGTGGAATAAGATAAATACAAATGTAAATATGCCATATTAAGAGTTATTGTCATCAAATATTCAAAATTAACCTTTTTTAGCAACATTATTACTGCATAAACCCGAAAGAAAGCACTTAAAATGAAGTGTAAGTTTAAGTTTATTTATTCCGCGCACAGAATGTCTTGTGAATCATTGATCGTGGCTTGATCTCAAAAAGCATTTTAAGGAACTCAGAGATATTCTCGCATTTTATTACAACTTATATTCTGTAGTAACCATATATCACTTAAAATGTATCTGAATAGTCAATTAGAAAACAGATAAATGTACAAATGTTTTTAGGTCCGGCTGAAAATTTATACTAGCAGTTCCAAAGGTCGTGAAATGAAACAAGAAAAAAAAAACAGATGTGCAACAAATAAAAACAGTGGTCCTTTTATGACACTGTTGTGCCAGTAAATTATAAACAGAATAGACATTGGTGTTATAATTGTGAATAAGCAGTTGCTTCAAACAAAACTGGTCAACAGAACTCTTAAACTGGACTACCTAGGCTGTTTCACGCTACCGATCTGGTACAAGCACAAGACAATACTTCATTGTTGAGTGATTACAACAAGACTTTCCTCTCTAAAAGTTAACAAACTGAAAGAATAAAACATTGGCCAAAAACTCACAGGTTAACGTCTATCACAAAAGAACATACAAGACCAATCACACACACACATTGTAACACAATTATAGGGCCAATAGAATTCAGAGAGTGAAACCTATTTTTCTACCAGACCCTGGCGATCGACAGCAGGTGTAACTCAAAATATAATATTAAAATGGCATTTTAATTACCTTCCTCAACAATAAAACTACAACCAGAGGCGTCACGAGGCGCTAGCACACGGGACTCGTGCCCCGATTCTATTTGACAGTGCCCCGAAGCCCCAGTTAGTGTCTTGAAAAAAATCAGAATAAAAATCCATGATCGATATCATAAAGAAACTCCGAAAATTCCCGCGCCTATGAGCCCGAGCCCCGATTCTTTTAAGCATCTAGCGATGCCTCTGGCTACAACCTTAAACAAAGTTTTAACGCACAAAATTATGTCAACATATGAACAAACCATATATGCACGTGTTAAATATTATATTTACGTAATTTTTACAACGTGTAATGTAATTTAAGTTTGTGCATTTCTGCCCAAGGCCTAACAAACGAAAAATAATTTATTGATTAACACGTTGCTGGTCAAAAAGAAAATCTGGTATCCATTATGATTTCAGCCTGTTATACCTGTTGAACTGATGGTATATTTCAGAGTAAATCGATACAGAAAAAAAAGGCATTAATATCACTGTATCAATATCATATAACATTTTAGAAACGTGTGATGAAATAAACATTTAATAAAACAATTAAAAATCATCACACCAGATAGTATAAAACAAAACATTAAAACTTGCTGAAGCGCAACAAATAGATAATATATATATATATATATGTTTTACCATTTCTCTCATATTGGAAGCAGGGGTTTGACTTCCTCGGTTTTCGTTTCCCAGAGCTATCCGTTGTCTAAGTGTATTGTGAACATGAACGATTTCCTGTGCTTCTGGTGGTGATATCATTCGCCCAGAGATGGCGCACTGAGAATTTTGTCCTCTATACTTACACATGGTGTGGTGAGGTGTAAATTTTGCAAAATTACACGATAGCAATCGTCCTAGCTGGCAAATAAATATTAGTATTACCAGCGGGGATACGGATAAAGTTGAATACAAATTCATGATTTATCAGTTTCTGGATCCTGAAGCAATCAAAGGAGTCAATCTAGTCAAAAATCAGAGATGAAAACAAACATTTAATAATTAGAACTCGAATTATTCAGAATATCTATCAAATGCAATTAGTTCAGATAATGCAACGAGCTTCTTCCACCTGTGGTAGTCTGGAGACAACATCTCTAACATCTAATGAACGTAAGCGATATACACAACTACTCACCAAGATACATTTTTAGAGGTATTTTTTGAACAAAAGATATTGAAATCAAGAAGGTCAGGTTCAAAATAATAGCAAGTGTTCATGTAATTTCATAGACATTTAGATGGAAACAGCAATGTTTAACTTGTGTTACAAATTTTCAGTAGATTCCCTGTGGAATAGTGGTAAGTATATGGACTTACAACGCTAAAAACTGGGATATGATTCCTCGCGGAGGACAAAGCAAATAGAACAATATGGCTTTGCTCTAAAATAATCAACAATAGCAAAAACTTTTAGTAGAAACAATGGTAATTAATATTGTTTAAGTGTTAATCCAGTATGAAATGGTTTCTTCTAGGAAAAATAAAAATTCTCTGTACAATAATATTCACAAGTAAAACTTTCAGAAACTTTATTTCGTTTCTAAAGTCCAAAAATACAAATAAATTGGGTACAGTAGGTATTTTGTCATACACAAACCGAGTTACGTAGGATGCCACAATATCCGTTGGTTAGTATTGTACTACTCGAGACGTAAGCCTCGTTGCTTTTACTATAGAATTGTGTGTACAATGATATTTAACGCCATTTTAAATAAGGCTGAAAACTAAATTAATTGATGTTTTTTTTGGGGTTTTTACAAATTAGAATATGAATAGAAAATTTAAAATAATGAGGCTATAAGCAATACATTTTGTAGCAGCTTGTATCCATGGTAACAAAAACCTTTATGGTATGCTGTTCAAGAGAATCTTTTCGCAAACAAACGTTTTTATATATATTGTTTGTCAACGTAAAATAAGTATAAGTTGTGTTCTAATCTTGGGATAATGAATAATATATTATCTTAATTTGGGGTTTCTTTTTCTTTCATGTATAATCTATTTGATCTAAATATTATACTGGAGAATTATATATAAAAAGTGACCTAGAGATTCTTATTTACTCTAACGTTACTGCTCCATATAATATAACCTAAGTACTTATGTAGGGATTATTAATTTCAGAAAATTAGCAAAAATAGGGGAAAATAGTGTTAGCTAAGTAATCGTAAAAGACCCATAGCATAGCACTACAATAATGAATGTTACTCTGATTTTACTTTCTATACTTCAAGCAGTACTTGGTGTTTACTAATTTCAAAAACATAAATAAAACGTTTTTAGTTATGTTGTTATGGAAAACGTGTAGATTAAGCATTTGCACGTAATTATCATGTATGCTATTAACCTAACGGAATTATATACCTAAATGGATTTTTGGAGATCTGCACCAGGTAAAGATATGCGTTTTAAATTATAATAATTATGATTAATGCCAACATACATTACCTGAGCAACCAGTATTTCATGATACAAAGTAATATGTCTTCTTCTAGGCCTACTTTTCACTCGACGCGGCTAATCTCATACATTGGTTCACAGTAGTAATTATTCCTTATCTCATGTATTGTTAATTAATTTGAGTATCATAGTCTTCGGTAAGAAAAGAACAGCCCAAGAGTTGGCCGTGGGTGCTATTAACTAGCTCATACCGGTCGAGTCTATCACTTCAAAATTAGGGACGGTTATACTCATATAACACTTGTGTCGTTTTACGCGAAATTCTAAAATAAATAAACAATCTCTCTCTCTCTTGGTTGAGTTTTAAGTCTATTTTAAGGCCTGGGATAGTTAGGTGCAGCGAAGACCTCTTCCTCTCTCCTTGATGGTATATTTATATATTATATCATTTCAATTTCGGGAAAATGCTATGCAGATTACCTCTTGAGATCAGGGTTCATACCCTACATGAATACTCACACTTGTCCTTTCTTTCCTTTTCAAGGCTCTATCCATAGATATAAAACGTGTAGCATTTAGTGTTTTTTCCGCCACTTATCTTAATTTGATTGTCTAACAAACCTAACCTCGGTTCATTTTATTTTGAATTTCGCGCGAAACTAGTCCGGGGTTATCTGCATTGTCCGTTCCTAATTAAGAAGTTATAGACTAAAGGGAAGGCAGGTAATCAACACCAACTCTCGGGCTTCTCCTTTCCGGCGATAATTGAATTGGCCGTCACGTTATAACTCCTCACGGGTGAAATGGCAAGCACGTTTGGTGACGGGATTCCTACCTTCGACCTGTAGATTGAGAGTCGAACGCTCTTAACACCAGAACATGCCAGGCATACACACACAGCGACAACAGCTTTTAACACTACCATGCGGATTTATATGTTAAAGTATGTATTAATCTATATTAGATAAGTATACTGATTGTGGAAAAAAAGAATTGTGGAAAATCCTACCTTACAAGAAAGCTTGCTTGAACATAGTTATATTAATTTTCCGAATTTAATTCTCTTTTATAGGCCGTTTACACAACTACGTGTGTTTGTGTATCCAAGCTTCGACCCTCATGGAGTATAATGTTAAGTTGCTATAGTTTGATGTCGACAGACTTTTCCAAAACTGTGCTACTTTTTTTGCAGGTGGATTTCAAATAATGCGGGAAAATGTAAGCCTAACCTCTATTATCAAATGCTCTAAACTTTAGGTTCACAATAGGCTGTTAGTTTACATGTAAACAAGACAATAACGTCGGGGCGCGCTAACTAGGATCTTTGTACATTACTAAGACAAATCATACTGGTTAGAAACACGAGGAAATGCTGGTGTTTAGAAATGTTTCTAATTCCGTAAAACACAATAATAATAAGAGGCGGGTATAAGTTATTAGGTCTATCATAATTACTAATGATTTCTAATGTAGAGAAAACAACTTGGAATGGAAAGCAATCTACTTATATTAGTGGTCATCGTGTAAACCCATATTATGTGGTAATTGGTAAGAGACGATTACTTAAGTGAAATTTCACCGCCATCATATAAATAATTAGAAACAGCATGCTCTGTCATCGAGAATTCAGTTGTTCCTCTTAAAGCTGTTTCTACCATGACTGTGGAAGACAAATTACTACACTTTTATTGTTATAAAAGGAAGATAACCAATTATTTTATATTATCTTTCCTGTGATTATTATTACGTAATTTCTCAGTGGCCACTAAACAATTTAGTAATAGTATTTTCAGTCTGAGCGGCACCTTATACAACATATGGCTAAGTGGACAGGTCAGAAACCCAAAACCACAGGTATAACCATCCATAATTTAGAATTGCTAACCACAGGAAGGGGGATTAGTCTGCAACCCTCGCCACCTACGTGACTTCTCTTAAGTAATTTAGTAATAGTATTTTCAGTCTGAGCGGCACCTTATACAACATATGGCTAAGTGGACAGGTCAGAAACCCAAAACCACAGGTATAACCATCCATAATTTAGAACTGATAACCACAGGAAGGGGGATTAGTCTGCAACCCTCGCCGCCTGCGTGACTTCTTTTAAGTTTTAACCAATTAATTGTACATGTGGTATTCGCGGGTAGAGCTGAAACCAACAGTAAAGTACTAAGTATTACAATAAAACAAACAAGGACAGCAAAAGAAAAACTCTTGTATAAACAAATATCAAACACAGGAGCATGTCATCAGAAGACAAGAAACTGCAAGACTGTGTCTAAACACTTTTAAGTCAAACCAAAGTTCTAGGCAGTTTACCACAATAGTCGATTACCTATGTAACTAATTATCTTATTTTACATATTCAAGGGAAAATTAACTCCAACTAACTTGTATAAACCTGTGCACCATTTCTCGACTTGAGTAGGACTCACATTTCAGGGGAGAGATGATACAGAAGCATGGTCAAGCGAGTATAAGCTCTATAGAATGAACACCGTGACATGCCACCCCTAATCTGAGGTGAGGATTAACACAATATTACATCTTATTATATCATGTTCTTATAAGGATGTCAACTAAATGCAGAACAAATGCATAAAAAATAAAAATAAAAACATATTTCTTAATATACATGCATAAAGATATATTGTTTTCTAGTTATAACGGGTAAAATCTCACATCTTTCAACTGCCATGATTCCTCCGTTCCATATCTCAGGACTTTTCCAGGCCAAAACCTTAAAATTTTTATAAAATAAATTACAAATTACTCACACTGTAGGTAATGCAGAGTTAAATGAAATATAAATATAAATGTGCTACATTGAACATAATGTAAAACTAAAATAGAATAGAGAATAATGAGCTACAGCATAGTACAAATAAATTTTAAAATTTTCAGTTAACCATAAAACCAAAACAAAACTCAAATTAATCACAATGAAATGAAATAAAAATTCAGAGTAATAAGAATAAAATACAAATTCAACAAACATAATGTAATTATAATGAGACAAATGAGCTACGGTTAGACTTAAAGTTGAAATTTGGGTTAAACGTAAAGCGTGATTGAGGTTTTAAAGTCTGATATAAACAAGATAAACTTCAAAATAGACAAAATTAACATGTGATGGAAAGTTTGTTTGTTTGATTGTAGTAATGCACAAAGCTACACAATGGGCTATCTGTGCTCTGCCCACTACGGGTATCGAAGCCCGGTTTCTAGCGTTGTAAGTCCGCAGACATACCGCTGTGCCACTGGAGAGCCTGTGATGGAAAGTTTGTTTATTTGATTGTAGTTATGCACAAAGCTACACAATGGGCTATCTGTGCTCTGCCCACCACGGGTCTCGAAACCCGGTTTCTAGCGTTTTAAGTCCGCAGACATACCGCTGTGCCACTGGGGAGCCTGTGATTGAAAGGCTTGCAGAATACAAAATCAATTCCTTTGCATTTCTTGTAAAGCTAGCCGTTCTTAATTTAGCAGTGATAGACTAAAGGTAAGGCGACTATTCAACTCCACCCACTCTTTTATCAATGAATAGTAAGATTGATCGCCACATTACAACGTCCTCACGGCTGAAAGGGCGAGTATGTTCGGTGACGGGGATTCGAACCTGCGACCTTCAGATTGCAAGTCCTAACAACAACCAGATGATGGTAGGTCGAAATACAACCTAAAACACAGAATAATCAAACGTGACATCAACTCTAACTAGGTGCAAACTGAAAGTAGAACATTGTAGAATAAAATCAAAATAAACTTAAAATGTACAGAGCTAAGCATTATGCCAGATAAAATATGGAAATCTCCTGTTAAAACTAATTAGTCTCTGTTATGAATCAGTGATTATAATTCTTTCCTCTAATATAGTAGTGGTCTAAGTTGCACTGACACGATTTCAATGCTTTTGTCGACTTGATGGGCTAAATCTGATTTATAGTGTCAATATCGAAAGCCCCTGAAATAATTATGAGTGGCATGACTGTGGTGGCTGTACTGGAAACTTGGGTAGTGAGTGACTGTTTCTTTGGAATGGTTGCTCTCAATTTCCATTTTCTTGCTCTGTTTCAAGGATGAGAAGATTTTTAGAAGAGGAATATGAAATGTTTTTATTTGATGTGGGAGATCATATCACCTCTCTGTTGGTCTGATATGGAGCACAATTTACTGAGCAACAAATTAAGATCACGTTCTTCTAGTGCATTGTATATGGGTTCATGGTAGCAGAAACAGTAGAGAAACCAATGTTGTGGTGGCCAAGGGGCCAAAGCTGCACTTGGGTCATCTCCACGAGGCACAGAAGTGTACAGTGCATTGTATGTTCTGTGAGTAAGGTTGGAACCTCTGAGCACTGAGGAATTGGGTGGAACTTAAGTGACATCTGGTACAGGCTGTTCAGGAATCTCCTCCATTGGCACCAGGAATAAGTTTTCAGGAGTCACTGATCATGTCCAGATCTTTATAGCCTTGTATGAAAATTTCTGTTATTTGGATTAGTCAGGCTAACAGGCGAGTCATTGGCTCAAAGACCAAGAAAGCCAGTTGTCAGTAATCATGTAGTGGAGACATTTTATTTTGCTAACAAGAAGATAAGTGCATATACACAAAGTGTAATATAGTAGAAGTATCATGAATTACACCATAATTACGTTTGACATAATAGTACAGAAACATGCATAAGTTTTACATATAGGAAGCATGAAACTACTAGAGAAAATAACTGAGACAAAATCTAGCAAAATGATACACATTATATTAAAATATATTATACAATCCATATTAATTTCTCATGTTGTGTTAGTTCAAAATTCTATTATTTCACAACTGGAACAGTGGCAGAGATTTACCAGATCCTCACTCTGATGAGCGGCTAACATGACAAAGTTAGCAACCGAATTATTTTAAATGGAAGTAGCTACGTGATCAGCGGTTAAAGTAGTGAGTTAGATGATTAGTTAGCAACGAAAGGAAATTGTGTTAAGGTAAATTTTTGCATGAGGAAAATTGTAAGCAATCTTGTATGCTAACCATCATGACCTTGTGTTGTGCTATGATGAGAAATAATACTTTTTTGAAATACTCCTCTAATGGCATTTTCTCATATGACTCCTCGTGGAGTTAGATGTATGCTACCAACATCTTAACTACATTCTCCTCATAATCTAAGCCAAGATGGTATTATATAATGAACTCGTTATCAGAGCTAACCTGGTCATCCACAGCTGATTCCTGGAGCAACTAGTCCTCAACAGGTTCATCTGTGACAAAGAGCTTCAGTGCTCGTCAGCATGTTCAATATCATGTGAGTGCTGTAGTTCATAGTTTACATATTTGAACTATCAACATACAAGATAAGGATCAGTCCAACCAAAGCTAATTTGCTTAGATATAATACATTCGTACCTATTCAGTAGACTCAAACTCTTGTTCCAACACTTAGATATGCAACCAAAAAATCTTCTAGTGACCCTATCGCACATCCCTGTTAAAAAAAGTGTAAGTGTTGCATTATCGAGACTTACCATTTAAAGTAGAGAAAATCATTTTGTGGTGATTGATCAGTGGTCAACATTATAATACACACATTTCTTGTAACCCTTATTGAACAGCTTTTTCGTACTTAGAAATATCGCATGTGAGTGACATATTTCATTACATTTTGCTGATTTTTTCATATTTTACATAAAATGTATACACTATTGAAAATTTGTGATTAATATACAATGTACGAATACGGTGCTGTTTCCATTTCTACCACTGACAAAATTACGAGCCAGAAAAAGTTCAAAATAAGCTATGTATAGATATTTTCAAAACTAACTTTATGTATTTATTGTATGTTTCAGACACATTGACAATAAATAGATGTTATTAGCAAGATATAGCTTTCTTTTTCCAGGCTTGCATTATTTCGTATTAATATGTTTATAATTAAGAACGTTTTTCGTATACAATTAGTATACAGTACAAGTAATTCAAAGCACGAAAAGGATATTTGGGCATCTTGTAGTTGAGGTGATTAAATTTGTAGTGTGAGCCTTTGGAAAAGGTGGTTTTGTTCAGGTAGTTACAGATAGATACGATTACAAAAGCTCGATCAAAGCTGAGGAGACAAAGAATTGTAGAGCTTAAGACAAAGTCACCGAAGATAAGAGTCTATCCTAGAGATCAGGTTTTCTTTAACAGGATGTAGGCTTTTCTTTCAAATTCTAAGGGAAAATGATGATGAACTGCTTTAAAAAAATTCTATCACAAAACCACTGTTTAATATTTCGGAAAGATTTGCTGATCTGGTAACAAATGAGAAAATGTAAGGTCTGCATGAACTACATATCCCACAATTCTTTGCTGGAACTACCCCTGACATGGCAGTTGTTTACCATGATCAGCACATGTGGCACGAGGTATACATCATCTTTCAATGTCCTTCTTAGTATAAAGTCAAAAAACGTCTCCATGCTTACAACACTATATCACACTGGTACCACCCAATCCTTATATTACTGAAAGTAAACTCTCTCCTATTTTAGACTTCGGAAGCCACTATCAGTATCATTTGGCTGCCACATTTCTGTTAGTTTCTTTGTTTGTAGTTAAACACAAAGATACACAATTGGCTATGTATGCTGTGTCCATCACGGGTATCCAAGCCTGTTTCTTTACGTTATGACATTTTTGATGGTGCAACACACTATCTTATCAAATAAGGTAGTATCAGATATTATATCCTTCATTAGTGCATTCACCAGCTTTTGATGTTTGAACTTCACGTATCTGCACAGCAGATATCTCATACGATCTATGTTCCAAACTCTTTACTCTTGTTTAAATTGTCAAAGTTTCCTCTTGCAACAGTCTTATCCAATGCACTATCATACCTTCCAGAGTTTTGGTCCACTCCCTAAAAGCAATAGCAGTAGCGTTTCCCAAATATTACAGCTGCAAGCCGTTCTTTTTCTGTTGTATAGTATTTGTACTCACAAGCTGTTAGCATATGGCTTTTATACATATTTACATGATTCATATCATCCTCTATCTGTAACATTGCCTCTCCACCCCCACTAGCACTATTATAAATATTCAGGACTTATGAACAGTCATGCCACGAACGAATAATGTATATACATTCATGCATCTACTTAAAGAATGTATCATTTTCAGTCATTGTACACAGTGATCAAGCTGTCCTGTACAAATAGGTCATAAGTAACCAATAATATAACAGAATCCTAGAAAGTTGCTGATATTTCATTTGGTCTCAGACTAGTAACAACCCTTGATGACTGTAATATTTGTAAAATCAGTCGACTCTGTCTCTGGGGAAATTTTATTTCTTCTTGGATTAATAAGCACTGTGGTGATTTTAAAATCTAACCTGAATCTTAAATATATTGAAATATCAATCTCAAGTTTCAGAAGTGGATCATGAGTTTACGAGTATTTAGATGTGCTGAAAGACACCCTTTGGTTCAATACACTAGTTTTGTCCTCTGCTAGCTGACATGACAAAGTCGACTATAAATGTAGATCAAAACCTACTTTCAGTACTTAGGAAAGATTGTGTAAATTTCATATAATGACACTCAGCCTACCTACGAGAATCTGTTAGAACTTACACTTAAGGAGCTGCATTGAGGGAAATGTCTCTTCTATGTGGGTAACATTCGGACTTTTGGTCACAGATTTCAGGACCAACAAGTTTACCACATTCTCCTGTATAAGATGCATTCAGAACCTTAATGATCCCTCCGTTTCGTGAAAATAGACCAAATATCCTTAAAGGTTGTATTATTGCACCATTCAACATCCACTTAATCACATTGCTTGTAACATCTATGGTGCTCCAAGACAGCTTATGATGTGTTATTCTTTTTCTATGCAGATAGCCATCTGGTACTGTAAACATATCAGCAAACTTTATGAGCAACTCATATGGTTCTTATATCCGTGTTGACTTCCTATTGATAGCACAAACCTTAACCAGCAATCTCAAGTAGTCAGGAAGCTCTGTGCAAACTTTCAGATGTGGAACATGTGCAGAGATATAGGCCACATAGCTGGTCTTAATCAGTTTTGCCTCTTTTACAATGTCAGTGACCATTTTAGCCCTGATTCAGTATTCCAGCCAGTGAAGCTTGATTTCTTGACAGAAAACATTTGTGTTTTTTCATGTTGGTTCTGCCACTGCAACAGCCAGTGACAATGCTCTAGAATGCATCCATTACACACTACAGAGCATTACTTACGTAACTGGAAGTACTACAACTTTTATCTCAGCAGGAAAACTTGTAGTTTATCTTTTTTCATATCCAATCTATTCAGCACTGGGTAGCCTTTTAACAGCTCTGAATCTCACTTGTTGCACAAGTGAAAAACAATGACAATATTTGCAAAATCTAAATCAATAATAGCCAAATATTTTTTGTTCGGGGAGCTACAATGTCGATATGAAGTAGAGATGTACCTCTCTAATATCATCTGTTTTTTGTTTTTTTTTACTATTTGCCAGAATGAAGTTTATGTTTACGTGGAGTGTTTAATACACAAAAGGTACAAGTAAGATCTTGGCTACTCCTGTATCCATTAGAAATTCAAAGTCAGATTAATATATCATTTCAGACGGATACCTTATGATGTCAAGGACATACTTATGGTGTGGTTATGGTAATCAAATATCTGCCATTGTCGTGGTTAGTAGCCTATACACTCACATAAGTCTGACTGTTAATCGGTAACTAATTATTATTACCATATTTTTGTTAATTATTATTTTCATTTATTATTTTTGTCTTATTTATCAACGTTATTTTTTATAACTGGATGCTAATTATTAATTAGTTTTATCCTGAGAAGGAATATTTCTGTGTTGGTAATGGTGGTATTCAATCCTGAGTCTTCTTGATAGAAAGTATATGGTTGTTATATTCTCGACTGGGTTTACTTGATTAGAGCTTCAATCAAGCACTTCCAAGACGGATATCCAGATTTTGGCTGTCTTCTGTGCTAGGTTATCTGAGATTATGTTCTCAGTTAATTTGATGCACAAGGCTACTTTTACTTTTCTTTTTCTTGAGTGTGGTTCATATTTTGGTACAAAACAGTATCATGTGTTTGCTATACCATTAGTTAATATGTAATTTTTCGAAATTCTTACATTTTCAGTAAGTTACATTTGAACATAGAAAGTCTGGTTCACTTACTGACTGTTAACAACAACATTCTTTTGTAGCAAAGATAGTATGTGATGTACCAGGGTAGAAAGCTGTCCTTTCTGTCAGTGAATCTGATAGTGTTTCAGTAATAAATCCATATTTTGTTACTTAATATTCATTATACCTCCTGTTAGTGGACATTACTTACTACTCTGTTGGAAATCCGTGAACTGGAATATATCACAATATCCTATTATCTTATCATTCTTCCACTTTATTGTACGATATTCTTTACTGCAATGATGGACTATTGCAAGTAGTTCTATACTACCGAGTCTTCTATGTCATATATATGCTTCAGAATTTTAACTTCTGTTGATCTTTTTGTTTCTCCAATATATTAAAATACACATTCGTAATTAATATACTCCAAACCATGTAAAGATCAAAGAGAGAAGTAAAATACCATTTACAACAGGCAGTTTCTTTGTTGGCTCCAGCATGCAGTGTCTTCATAGAAACAATATTGATTAGAGATGAAACACACCCACGACCAAAACGATGTTGCAAGGGTTTGCTGAGCAGACTATTACTGAACTTGTCTGTGAGGACTTTCTCAACCAAGTTATTTTAGGTTATCAAGTGCTAAACCTTTCAGACTCAGTATCAGGCATTGTATCTTTCTGTCCAACCATTCCAAGATAAAACAACTGAGCAAGTTTACAGATCTTCCCTCGTTATACCTTTAAGCACTGACAGGTTAACCTGTTTCACCACTTTACCTTTGTGAAAGAATGCTGCAGACAGATATCTGCTGCCAATATCTCTACCATTATGCAGCTGAAACACCACCAGTGTTTGAGGGAGGAGCTCTTAATTCTTCAAAGGACCAGGCACATATATTCTAGTCAATGTGGTCTCCCTAAGTAAGGCCACAGTAGAGTGCCATGATGAGGTAGGATGCATGTTGTCTACTTCATCCATTAAATGCAGTCTCATCACTGTGCCTTGCCAGTATGAAAGCTCTTCAAATTCCCCAAGGATCTACAGGATCATAGTGAGATTGTGATTGCTTTATCAGATGGTGTTGTTATTGTTCTTCCTAGCAGAGTTGATCCATCATATGCCACTCAATTCTCTCCCTTGCCATAAGTGACACTGACCAGTGCCTGTTGACCTAGCTTGACCCAATCAGCGAATGCTTAACTGTCTTATAGGGGCCATCTTATTGGTTCTTGGGTCATCCAGACTTGTTATTGCTATTGCAACCAACCTTTATCTTCCTATGCTTCTGAACATTGGTGCTAGCCAGTACATGTCAAGTTGGCACTACAATATGAATTGTACTTAGCCATCTTTCTCCTTTCAGTTATGAAGACCAATCAAGAAAATGGACAAAGCTCTACCACCATTACATTAATAAGTTAATTTCTTCTTTCGTTAATATTTTCCACCACAAGTTATTGGTATCGTAAACTTCTCTAATTTCTCTTCAAATAGTATTCCTAGTAATACTCTAGTAAGTATACCTCTAAAAGAACTCTCTCATGGAAGTTTATACATCCTCCGGAATTTATATCTTTTTGAAACCTGAATTTCCATAAGAGTTCTGTTAAAGGCATCTTTTCCTATATTTCTATCCATTTGTAATTTTCTTATTTGAAATCTCTGTTGTCTTTCCTGTACCTGCCTTACCTTACCCATAATGCACCTTTTTATTCGATTATTTTTATTTCTTTTAATTTACATGTTTTTCCTTTATTTCACCTTTTATTTTAAATGTTCAGAGTAGTGTCCGTAAATATTGCCACAGACTTTGACTTTGAAGAATCACAGACCTGATGATCATATAAAAAAGTAGACAAATGTGTTGTCTAATCACCAGCCCAACAGAGAAGTTGTTGAACTTTAAACTATTTACTATTGGGCAAACCTGCGTTTAACTAAATGTGTAAAAATTATTATTATTAATAAATATTTCACAGTTGGCTATGTTCGAGTTCATTATATTCTGTTGCCTGGGGCACATAGATGGCTTTTGTGTTCGTGGATTCTTACCTTTTATAAGACGCTTCACTTTGCTTACTACGCCTGGGGAACGACTTGTTTCAAGTCTCTTTTTGGATGGTCGTGGTTCTTCAAGCTGATCCACATTCATTTGTTTTCCAATATCCTAATGCACAGTTGATGTCCCTGTATTACAAATTCTAAATCCCTGCTCTGAATAAATCTTTTTGTTCTGAGTGTATAAATATTTTGCGTCGGAAAGGACTTTTACATACCATTCTCAAAAACAATAAATTTTCGGTTGCATCACACTACCTACGAAATGCTAAACAACACTAAAATGTATTTCTGTTACATCCCATTCCACCGCAACTATACATCAACTGCGGTTGTCACGTAACTTGTCCATTTCCATATTGAAAATCGTCTTAATATAATGTATTCAATCCTCTGTAAATCTTATTTGAATTGTGTCCTATTTTTGTAGAGTAACCCAAAGTATAATAGTTCCAGTTTATGTGATATTTTGTCATAAATGCTAGACCTATACTTTTACGTAGTCAAATAGTCAAACGATGGTAACAAGCAGATAATTTTGTGTAAAGCCACCTGTCAGATGTTAAGACAATGGTTTTTCGTTACAACTGAACTTTATTAAATCCGTACAACTGAACCTCATTAAATCCGTATTCTTTCAGTGCGTTTATACCATTATATTTTGTTAACCCTGTTTCGATTTACTGAATCTTATTAAATAAATATTATTCTGATGTGTCTATACAATCAGTTTTAATGGCCTTGTTTTGGTTTTTTTGTTACAACTTAACCTTATTAAATCGGTATTATCTCGGCGAGTCTATACAATCAGTCTTTAATGACCCTAATTTGTTTTCTTTTTATTACAGCTTAACCTTATTAAATCGGTATTATCTCGACGAGTCTATACAATCAGTCTTTAATGATCCTAATTTGTTTTCTTTTTATTACAACTTAACCTTATTAAATCGGTATTATCTCGATGTGTCTATATAATCAGATTTTAATTACCATGTTTTGTTTTTGTTATAGCTTAACCTTATTAAATTAGTATTCTCTCGATATGTCTATACAATCAGTCTTTAATGACCCTAATTTGTTTTCTTTTTATTACAACTTAACCTTATTAAATCGGTATTATCTCGGCGAGTCTATACAATCAGTCTTTAATGACCCTAATTTGTTTTCTTTTTGTTACAACTTAACCTTATTAAATCGGTATTATCTCGATGTGTCTATATAATCAGTCTTTAATGACTCTAATTTGTTTTCTTTTTGTTACAACTTAACCTTATTAAATCGGTATTATCTCGGCGAGTCTATACAATCAGTCTTTAATGGCCCTAATTTGTTTTCTTTTTATTACAACTTAACCTTATTAAATCAGTATTCTCTCGGTGAGTATATAAAATCAGTCTTTAATGACCTTAATTTGTTTTATTTTTGTTACAACTTAACCTTATTAAATCAATATTCTTCCGTGTGTCTATACAATCAGATTTTAATTACCATGTTTTGTTTTGTTTTTGTTATAGCTTAACCTTATTAAATTAGTGTTTTATCGGTGTATCTATGCAATCAGTTTTTGATATCTCTTAACCATGTGATAGAATGAACTATAAATAAAACAATAAACATTCGGACCAGTTCTAAATTTTGCTATTTCAAAAGTATATGCAGTAGTTACTCAGTTCTATTACT